CTATAGATATATAGTGACCCAATTAAGTTAGGTATATGTATATGTATCTCAACAGAAACTTGTACATAAGTTTGTATTCTAGGTTAGCAATACCACCCATGACTTTAAGTATTAAGAGAAATGTATTCCAGATAAAATGTTGAATGAACACATGATCCTAAGCCTTTAATCTATTGGCTTTCAAGTAAATTTTTAGCCTTCATTTTTTTTTAGTTTAGTGTTTAACTAAATTTAGGTTTGTAATTAATCTGCCAAAAGTTGAGTTATATGGATAAGATTAGTTTGTTAAACTTTTAGTACTCAATGAGAATTTAGGAGAAAATCCCTATGGGATTTGATACTAGACTTACGTCTATATTACTTGTTTAATACATATACTTGCATGTATTAAATGGACAACAAGTATTTAGCCTCATTGCCAAGGATTTATGTTCTTTATTTTTGCTAATATTAATACAAAACAAATCAGTCTTAATTCAAGTTTTTCTTTTTTTATTTTTTAAGTGCATTTTGTCATTGCATGCGAAGAGCAAGAAGAATGAAGATTGTTCTTTGTGAACTAAAGATTGAGATAACATTTAGAAGACTTTGGAGGAAAAATTAAGAAAGTTCTACTTAAACTAATACAATGGCCGAACAACAAAGAAAGTAGCAAGTCCAAAAGTGAGCAATGGAAGAAAATCAGTCATTAAAAGATTATGCATTTCCGTTGGTGCAATGGCTTTCATCAAGCATTCGCAAGCTGACTATTCAGGCCAACAACTTTGAAATAAAACCGAACATCATCCAAATGATCTAGACTTTAGTCTAGCTTGGTGGTTCATCAAATGATGACCTGAATACACATATTTCAAATTTTCTAGAGGTGTGTGACACCTTTAAACATAATGGAGTGACCGATGATTTTATTAGACTAAGACTATTCCCTTTCTCATTGAGGGACAAAGCGAATGTTTGGTTGAATTTGTTTCCTACAGGCTTCATTACGACTTATGATGACCTTGTTCAGAAGTTCTTAGCCAAGTTCTTTCCTTCGGCCAAGATAGTAAAGATGAGGAATGATATCACATTATTCACAAAAAATGATGCTAAATCATCATACGAGGCCTGAGAGAGATATAAGGATCTGCTAAGGCATTGTTTTCATCATGGTTTTTCAAAGTAGCTCCAAGTTCGGACATTTTACAACAGGCTAAGTGGTCAAGTTTGGACCATTATTGGTGCAACTATTAGAGGAGCTTTTATGGCAAAGTCAATTGATGAGGCATATAACCTTTTGGATAAAATGGTGTCAAACAACTATTAGTGGCCATTAGAGAGAACAATGCATAAAAAGGTAGTTCGAGTTCATAAGTTGGATGTCATCATGACAATAACAGCATAGGTAGCTACCTTTACTCAGAAATTTGTTTCTTTTGGAGTTGACTTAGTTCATTTAGTTTAGAGTCCATTTATATCTTGTGATTATTATGGAGATGGGCATGGAGTGTTCAAAGTCCAAAAAATTCAGAGTCAATTCAATGTGTAGGGAATAAGCAATAGAAAATCCCTTATGCCAATACCTATAATCCTAGGTAGAGGAACCATCCAAACTTCTCTTATGGTAATCAATGGTCTTCTTTAGCTCCAAGGCCTAATATTCCTCTTAGTTTTCAACGGCAAGCACAACCTCCTATGCTAGAAAAGAAACCATCTATGGAGGAATTGCTTATGCAATACATGGCCAAGACGGACTACCTCATTCATAGTCAAGTGGCCTCACTGAGAAATTTTAAAATGCAAGTTGGGTAGTTGGATAACATTATAAGCAACAGGGCACAAGGAACCTTACCTAGTGACACGAAAGCTAATCCTATGAGGGAAGGTAAAGGACTTGTCAAGGCCATTACTTTGAAGAGCAAAAAAGCTGTTGAAAGAAATCCTAAGAAAGTTGAACAAAAAAACGAGTTAGTAATGAATGATATAGTAATTATGAATGCTAACAACTAGAGTCAAGAGAATGAATTAAAGGCAAATCCACCATCACCCTTTTCTAAACACTTTAAAAAACAACAGCAAGATAGTTAGTATTAGAAAGTTTTGGAGGTATTCAAAAAACTTCACATCAACATTCCATTTATAGAAACTTTAGAGCAGATGCCTTTTTATGTGAAGTTTCTAAAGGATATATTGATAAAGAAAGAAAGATTAGGTGAATTCAAGACTGTGGCACTCACTGAGGAGTGCAATGCAATCATTCAGAACAAGATTCCTCCTACACTTAAGGATCTTGGTAGTTTTACTCTTCCATGCGCTATTGGTGTGTTATTTTTCACCAAGGCTTTGAGTGACTTGGGAGCCA